ATAAACACTGCAGTGAAGCCTTGATTATTTTGCATTTGTGTCCTGTGTTTTGATTCCACAACAATTTTCTTCTTCAGAGAGTGGAGAAAGGCATAAGGGAATCTTCTATCCTTGACTGAATCTTATAATAGAGAAGACTTAAAAGACAATGTGGAAGTAGAGAAAACTTTGAGAAAAGTACTGTATATTGATACTAATGAAAACTTAACCTGAAAATAGTCAAATACATCCCTCATATTTCAAGAAAGCAGACTTTAATTTTAGAAAGCTACAATATTCCATGGCAGGAAGAACTAATGGGAAAAGGAGCTTGATGGAATTTTTAAAAAAGAATATAATAAAAGTGCAGTGAAATTTACACATACAAGAGTTTGGAAGGGAAGGGAATGCCTTCTAGGTGTATGTGAAAAGGATCTTGGAACTGCAACTATCTTTTATGGATGGATTTATATATTTAGTTCTGACTGTATTCCTATATTTAAAATATGTTGCTTTTCCTTTTTTAGAAACTTAATTTTTGGGAAAATAATGACTGCTGGATCTGTTTTAGCACCTCAGATTATACCACTTCGAATCTCAAGCGGCAAAGCTAAACATGAAATAGATACAAATACTCTTGTTGAAATCAAATCAGGTATGTTTAGCATATTAGAACACATGCTGAAATTGTTTATTATATATATGTAACTTTATACTTATTTAAAATATTTCAAAGATTTCTGAGTAACAGAATAGTTAAACATTAATGTCTTAAAATATTATTGTAAAACCAAACCGAAAAAAACCCACAGCTCAACAATGACATTCAAAATACTAAAAACAAGGATAGAAAATAACATTATGTACCAAGGATTTTTCTGAAACTAGCAGAAGGTTGTTAGAGAATAAGTGAGACAGACTGCTTTTGGAAGCCACTGGACAGACCCAGTAAAACAGATAATCAGGAGTTGTTGGGACATATAAAAGGCCTCCACAGATTATCACAATAGATGGGCAGTTTGAATGGGAAAAGGTAGCTCTTTAAAAATTCAAGATCTTCATTTCCATGGAATGGATATAGTTGGCATATCTAGCCTTAGCTGGCCAAAGGCACCCCTGCCAACATCAATACTTGAACATCCAGGTTTAAGTGTGGATCAGAATGAACCCTCTACTACAAGCAAGTATTTTCAAAGGAAGATATATCCCGTTCAACATAGATTATTTTCTGGATCAGCTGACTTAACCCAGAGCACTTTGCCTTTTCTAAATTCTATTTTAATTTATTGACCTAATATAGTCTAGTACTGTCTCCAGACATACAGGATTTCAATAGGGGACTTCCAGGGAAGAAATGTCAAATTGGAGATGGCTCCGCTAAAAGCAGAGCCAGCAAGTAGACCAGCTCTTTGTAATTCTTCTCTGGACAAGGAGAGGACTTGTGATCACCCACAAGTGCTCCTGACAGTTGCTCCTCACAAGGAGACCACAGGACACAGGTTTCCAGCAGGATTAGAGCTCTAGGAGATGAGTGAATAGCCATCTTGCTCAAACCACAGTCAGCACCTTTGAAAGGACACTGGGTTTGCATACCTCCTTTTCTAATTACTTTCAGAAATTGCTTTTCAGCTCTTAGGAACCTTTGGATTGACAAGTCTGAAAACACCAGGTGAGTTTCCTTCAGTACTTAGCAAAAGAAGTTTTAAATACAAGCTTAAGGACTTAAAAAAAATTTTTTTTTTGGAATAAGTAGCAAAAGA